TGTTATAGTTCAATACACATACATGAATCTTACTGTGATACTTTCCATGCAAATGCTGCAAAAAATTAATATTATGTAGTATCTATTATCGGCAAGGAACAAAAACAGACAAGAGATCTTTCACAGACGTGAAGGAGGATTTTGTTACTAGCAGACTTATTAAAACGCAACACTTACTACATCTGCTGTAGCTTATGCAGGTATAGTACATAAGTTAATACATACTGCCATCTGTAATTAATTTATTTATAATACTTTTAATTTATTAATAAATGGTAAATACTGCATACTACATAATATTCTTAGGTAAGGAACAAATCAACAGCAGGTGTAGAACCATCTTTCCTCCCTACAACCACAAGCAACTACTGCTGAATCCACATCTACTCTTGTGCTTTGTTGACAATACACAAGATTGACTGACATTTCTCTAATAGAACTGATGCGATGGAGAAAGTAGAACCACTCATTGAATCGGTTTTCTAAATTAATTTATTACCTGGACATGTGTCTGCATAACAGCAAGTAGTACATCAAATTTTTCAACCCATGTTGCTTGTGAAAGAAGATATTCATGATTAGCCATCACCTGTCTCTGCAATTCTCTTCCAGGAGAGTGATTCCTAAAATTATACCAAAAATAACTGACTCTAAAATTACTCTTAAAATTATTTGTTGTCAAGACTGTTTCCATCGTCTGTGACAGAGACGAGCTCTTTCTAAGGGACCCAACAGAGTAGGTACCTCTCACCTGAACACGGAGACAGATCCAGCCTCCGAAACGTCGTGAATTTTAAAAACAGACGATGGAAAAAGTCCTGACAACAAATAAGTTTAAGTGTAAACTACCGTCATCAAAACCCTTTAGAATTGAATCTAAAATTACTGTACAGTTTAGTACACACACACACAGATCAATGATTCACAGAAGGTGAAAAACATTTTAGGAAGATGATATACAAATAAACAAGTCATTGTAAATGACTTGTTATACTGAGATGAACAGAAATACTCTTGAGCACAATGAACCTTCAGTCAACTTCTTCAGCTGTTCTGTTAGCTAAACCTTGCAAAACTGCCAGAGACTTACCAGAAGTATCATTCTGTAGAAACCGTTTATAAAATTCTGTATTGATAAAACATTACTGTTATAAATAATCTACACTTAATCTAAACTACACCTTTGAACTGATATAACACATTTAGTTCTATCCACAAATTGACAACAAATTAAACTGGAAAACACATATTGAATACATTATCCCTAAACTAAGCTTGGCATGTTTTGCTAGGACAGTTGCAGCACTCATGAAAACAGAAACTTTAAAATTAGTTTATTTTGCTTACTTCCATTCCATCATGTCATATGGAATAATTTTCTGGGAAAATTCAACGGACAGCAAAAAAGTATTTTACATTCAAAAGAGGATCATTAGAATAATGGCAAGCACTAAAAGGAGAGACTCTTGTAGGAAATTATTTTAGAAGTTTAATATTCTTCCACTACCAAGTGAATTCTTGCTCAACAAATTTCAAACAAATACAATTATCCACCATATAAGAACAAGGTGCAAATACAACCTTCATGTGCCGATTTCTAACCTTAGTAAATATCAAAAAGGAGTTTACTATACTGGAATTAAGTTATTCAATAATCTTCCACCTACTATAAAAAGTTTAAACGATATAAAAATGTTTATGCCAGCGTTAAAAGAGTATCGCTTATCTCACTCCTTCAACTCAGTAGAACAATTTATAAATACATATAAGTAATTACGATGATGCATCATAATTATTTTGCTGTAATACTGTAGTTCCAAAAATCTGTCAATAGCTGTTACAACCATGTATTTATATTTGTACTAGAAACATGTATTTGTGCTATGACCTGTTCTACATCCTTGGCTTAGGCCTATGAAGGTTCTATGGAATGTAAATAAATTCTATTCTATTCTATGAATCCAATTACTCTCTCCAGATGTAAGATAATTTAGTCTAACCTTATTCCAGCCAAGTTTATTGAATCTCTAAGTTCACAGAACTATTTTTCATACATAGAAAATGTTTACATTTCATTTATGATAAACTTTTCTATTCTACATCATTAACAATTTAACTGAATGGAGTGTTCCACTTAAAATAAACTATAACTTCTATACATGAATTATTTCATTGCAGCTGATGCAATGCTTGAAGTTGGTATGACCATAACATTTTGTGCGTCTGGTTTAAGCAGTGACCTAGCAACTAGAGCAACCTTAACATGAGTGTCATGGGGTAGGCTAGGGGAGAGTGATTTATTTTTTGTTACATATTACTGTTGTCAGATTGCATTTTAAATGGTAAAGCCTGTACATATCCTGTTAAATAATAAGATAATTGCAGTTACATGAACACAAAACTTGGTGAATGATGCAAAGAATTTATCAGCTCTAGCAAGCAAGGAGAAATAATGGTCAATAAGAGAGCATAACCCTTTGAAAAGGAAAGGAAAACTACACTAAAGATTCAAAGAAAGCATAAAAAACTGGCAAATTGAATGTTAGAACCAAAGCTAATAAATGGACCGTTAAAACAGCACTTTAACAATGCTGAATTTCATTCCAACATGTACAAACAACTGTTGAAGATGTCTTTATAAGATGTGTTACAAAATATGGACCTCAGGTTGGAAAAGTAGTTACACAGAACCCTGATGATTTCAAACGAGAACTATATTTGTAAGCGCAAGTTTGGCCTATGAAACCAACAATCTGTTATTAATTAGAAACTGTTGGAATTGGTTACAATTGTGAGTATTTCTATAATGCACTGCCCAAACTATAAGATTTTATGGTGATAAGGAAACGTATATGGCATGTTGCGGGCTTTTAAGATCTGTGCTTTCCTAAGTTTACATGCCGTCTAAATGTTGTAATTAAGTTAATAATACTAAGAACACAAATCCCCCTGTAAGAAACTTAATACAAAAACTGTGAGAAAAAGGCATATGATACTTGGATACGTTTGATTACCAATTATAATTAACTTCCTTCTTCCTGTATCACATGTAGGTTACACTCCGAATTACAAAATGAAAATACTTATTGACAGTTCACGTAAAATTAAAATACCCTAATAAATTCTATTCCATTCTATAGCACGACTGTTACACTTTTAAATTGTAGCACTGAATACTCCAATATCCAACATAATAAAAATCCGGTTATCCGTGCTCGTGTTCGTTCATTCATTCGTAAACTGAGTAAAAAGAAACTTAATACAAAAACTGTGAGAAAAAGGCATATGATACTTGGATACGTTTGATTACCAATTATAATTAACTTCCTTCTTCCTGTATCACATGTAGGTTACACTCCGAATTACAAAATGAAAATACTTATTGACAGTTCACGTAAAATTAAAATACCCTAATAAATTCTATTCCATTCTATAGCACGACTGTTACACTTTTAAATTGTAGCACTGAATACTCCAATATCCAACATAATAAAAATCCGGTTATCCGTGCTCGTGTTCGTTCATTCATTCGTAAACTGAGTAAAGATGGTCTAGTGCATCAACAACACCTTACTTCTTCCCACTACGAGTAACCACGGATTTTCCACGAATTGAATCATAACAGTTTTTTCGATATATCGTTTAATGTTTAATGTTGAGTTAAGTGCTGAAGATTACTAGTATTTCTCTAGTGTTTTCGGTTTCCAGGAAGGTATTAAGAATATGAATAAAGGCACATGATTGACAGTTTACCAATATGTCAAGTGCTCAGTCTCAGCCTGTCCATGGCAGTGGATCAGACACTGGCAGAACTATTAGGCAACAGATGCTTCACTTAGGATTTTATAGTGACTTAATAATGAAGAAAAATCAGTGTGCATGTATTATTGTAAAAATTTTCACAACTAACTTGTATGCAATAACAAATCACTGGCAGTGTATCTGGTCAACATGTTTGCCCATAAAATGTCTTTGAGATGTTTGTGTGTAATAGACTGTGAAAAGCAAGAATATACACTTTGAATCAGCAGGATATTTCTGACATGGTCTCTAAAATATGGGAGGGTGGTAGGAGTAAAGTTAGAACAACCACTGCTGACCTGACTAGATAAAGTGGCACCTTTATCTATAAATATCTTAGAGCTGTGATGGCTTATGCATAGTCATATGTTATCCTGTGGTGTTGATTGTATAATCAGATATATACTAGTGAATGTGTTTGGCAACAACACCCAAGTTTGGTTGTCGATGGAAGGCCATGCATACTTCAGAATGTGACATGAATCATGATATAACTCATGTGGAGCAAGGGAACTGGAGACATCAGTTTCTTTGTGGCAGTGTTCTGACAAATTCAGCATATTTTGCTGTCAGAGGTGATGCTGAAACTGATTTAAATTAGGCCATGTGGTCCTACTGTAGAAATGAGAAGGAGAAATGTTATCAGTCCTGTGGGAAGGTTGGGAACGACTCTTTGATGTGCTATAGGTAAATCGAATGTATAAGGTCTATCAGTGGGTAGAAAAAATTATGGCATGCTGAAACAAATAACCATCCATAAGCTCACATAGTATTACCAGAAAGTCATTTGGAGAAACATAGGAGATCTGAATGATATGAAGATGGCAGTACCAGCAACAGTCTATAAAGGCATATTAACATGAGAAGGCATAATATAATATATATTTTTCTGGATGTAAATGTTGATGCTATTAGCTGTGACAGAAGATAAGCAACCGCACCCACATGATGAATTCTTCTTAGGCTACCAGCCACATAAGGTGGCTTAATGGAGAAAACACCAACATTCAAGAACCATCTTCATCCTCAGAGTACTGTAGTGTAGTACTACAGATGAATTCATTATACTTAGTCTCTGTGAAAGCTTCAGATTATAAGCCATGTTATAAATGAGAAGAACACAGGATGCAACTCAAAGTCTCCATACAGTGATTTAGAATAAATGTCCAAAGAGAATGTTCAGATGGACTACAAACTGCAGTGATTATGCCTGTGAGTGAACTTAATGTTAGATGTGGCAGAAATGTAGTGGAGACCCAGTAGCAAGCTGCTGGAATTTCAACGGGGAATCAGAATGCAACCAACGAAACAGCAGGATATAAAATGCGTCAAAGTAGCGTGTGAGGAGAATATTCAAATTTAAGAGTGCTTGTCAAGCATTAAAACTTGCCAGTATGAGGGTGCAGGAGGCTGCCATGAAGAGAGACATCCAGCCCAGCAAAGATAGGCAGTATTAGGTACCATTGAACTTAACTATATTTATTTTTTAACTTATTTCCATGCATGACTTTGAAAACCTTTTTCTCATCTTGCTTTTTTTTGATAACTTTCCCATCTCTAAAATGCAGCTTCTTCCACAGAAATTGCACTAGGACCATGATTTTTTATAGTAATTGAGTAAATCATATTCAACAAAATGAAGGCTGACTTTTTCTTTAAAACAGAACAAAAATGTTAGGAATGTTGTGTCTTTGTAATTTTATTGTAAGAATGTTAAAAAAAAGTCAGTACTTGTTGAAAGAATATTTATGATTATGCAGAGGTATTCAAAACCAGAAATTCAGGACTAAATATTAATATCTGAGAAATAACGTAAAAATATCAGTGGGATTTAACTGAAAGTGAGTGCAGTTACATGTCAAATTTTGTGTATAACATTTACTCTGTAGGAAATAATATTTTCCCCTGTGTCCCAACTTTATGTTTATCATACAGGAATAGAGGATTTAGCCCCCCCATATACATCAAGGCCGCTGGCTGGACTTCAACTCTGGGTTAATTGTTTACAAGGTTAACATGCATTTTTAAACTTGCAGATCATGATGAACAAAGCTATGTTTGTGTGTCTTGCCCCCCCCCTTGCAGTCACAAGATAAAATGTTAAAATTGTGAATCTCATGATATAGGTGATGAGATTTCAGAACATTGCTTTGATTTGACTGTGTGAACAACCAACCGTTAGTTTGCTTGTAGACCTACTTTGCGGTGAATAGTTAAAATGATCTGACCTTGTTGGTAGGTGATTTAATCTAAAAGGGATGGCACTTATCAAGAATGTATAGTGACTGAGTATGGACTGGGTGATTGGAGTTTAATCCCTAGCAGGGGCAAAGGAATTTTCTTGTTGTCTTTGGAGCCCACCCAGTCTCTAGTCAGTTGGGTATCAGATTCTTTTCCTCTGGGGTAAAGTAGCTTGGGCATTTGTAACTTAATACTTTCATTTCGATATCGTATGATAATATTCAGAGTGCAAATTAACAAATAATAGGGTGAAACATCTTTCCCAACTAAAGGGTCGAGTTCTCTTAATCCACCACTATTCTGTAAGTGGTCTCTTATGTGAAGGGAATGAAGTGGATTGCGGGTGTTCGAGAGCAGGGTGCTGAGAATATTGGTCTTAAAAGGGAGGAAGTAACAGGAAATTGAATCAAATGGTATATTGGAGAACATCACGATTTGCACTCATCACCAAATATTATCAGAGTGATACAATCAAAGAGAGAGAGATATGGACAGGAAATGTACGTATGAGAGAGAAGTGAAATGCGTACGCTTTAGATGATGCTGACCTTTATGAGCTCTGTGGGTTTTATTTCAGGCGCTTCGATAATGATAAAGTTAAAGTATACTTTACTCACGTCTTCATTCTTTATACAGTTTTGTAGAATAACAGATTTTTACAGACGGCGAAACAAAACGGTATTCCGTAAGCATTGAATGCAGAGGGGCCAAATCAGTCTTTGTCTATTCCAACATTCAGTAAGTTATCTCCATTATTAGTAACAGTACTATAAGTAGTCTATAGTAAGTTCGAGTCAGGTCACATCCCAAATATTTTCCTAGGTTCAATTTTCGTGTTTTACATAAACTTGCTTAGAAGACTCCATGAACGACCCTGGATTTTGTATTTCGAATAAGTTAAACTGATTCCTTTCTGACCTCATCTCCGCGCCTCAGTAGACCCAAATGATTGATGAGTTAAAAAATAACAATATTAAAAATTCCAATGTTATGGATTTAGTAGGCAACAAACCAAATAAATGTTGCAGCCAACGTGAATTTAGATATATAGCTTGTAGTCGACACGTGATTCGTTTTAATCTACCGTCCCAAGAAATAAAAACACGCACAGGTACAGTAGTTGTAAAATATATAAGCAGACAATAACTTGTTATAAGAGGCAGTGGTGTATTGTGACCGCCCAATGTAATGACGTCACAGCTGACCTCATTGTCCGTCGCGTAAGGATGCGGGAGATCACATCGCAGCTCACAGATAAAGACGCGACCCGCTTCAAACAGCAGTAGAGCTCTGCCTGCATCTATGTAGAACTGTTGGTCTTTAGAATGTTGCAGCGTTTTAGTCTCGTCATATTGGCACTAGCCGTCGGTACATCTGTCAAGGCCGGTAAGTACGCATACAACTGTTGTCGGAAAGCTGTTCTGCGTAAACTTGGGTCTACTTCTCGGAAATGACTGTGTTCCCGATGTTCTCAAGAAATGTACAGTGTTGTACGAAACATTTTCATTCTGAGAAAATATACTTTACGTTTGATGCTGTATTTAGGAACGGTGCGAGGGTAGGGTGTTACAGACAGAACCGTCACTTCCCCCAGAACACCTGGGATAAAAAAAAAGTTTTCTGACTAAATTCTGGAATAAGACGAAAACGTGTGTGTCTAAAGTCTGGGATGGAACAAAAAAAATGTAGCCCAGAGGAAATACATTACCCTATTCTAGAAAAGAAAGGCCAGTGAATATTGTACCAGTCAGTAACTTACGCTAGTCTGTGCAACATATTGATTTTCGTTAAATTTAGGTACTAAGTATCATAGGTTCATCTCGGAACTTGTGTTAAAGCAGATTGAAATAGGGTTAATCTACTAGACCAACGAATGCTGTCATTAGTCCGTTTAAATATTTGCGAGTCCTGGAAAACCAGTGAGCCATTTCTGTTTATAAAATAGTGATGCTGTGCATGTGTACTCGTATTTGTTTTATAGTAACACGTTCGCATGCTATCAACGAACGTAGAAAATGTAGACATTACAGTTACTGTCCGTCAGAATGCCCTTTAACGTTTGACTCTCAACCACAGTGGTAACTTACATGTGTCATTTACTATAACATTCATAAGTCTACATTTTGTTCACAGTATATTTATGAGTTTCATGGTTTTCAGAATAAACAGTGATTATTTCTCTAAACAGCATTAAAATGGCGATGTATTGTAATGGTGAAGCGTTTTCTTTCAAGGTAGGGACTGAATTTGTAAACACTTTGCACGAGTTTCGTGCTTCAAAGGGTTGGTGGTGCAATGAGGCTTATGTGTACGAAGCTCATGATTTTCGATCTTAAAAGCCAGCCAAGAGCCACTGAACTACGAGATTGGTTCTTAAGTATCTTTAACAGATGTTATAACCTCTGTGCCAAAATATCGATAATTTCTGGATATTATTTTTTCAATAACCATCGTAAACATGTGATACGGTATACTCTAAGCAACACTAACATCAAGATTTGTATAGTGTTGGTGTCCTGAGAAATTTCGCTATCACGGTAACAGAATTTCTATCAATGTGATATAGGAAATTCGCCCTTTCTCGGGTGAATGATGTTCCAGCTGAGGAAAATGTCCCGATTGATCGGACCTATCAGGAAAGGTGATAGATGAGCGCTGGTGCAATGATGATTGGCAGGGGAATCTCAGATATTAAAAAAAAAACAAAAAAAAAACGTCGTAATGCCGCTTGGGAATGATGTTGGTTTCTGACCGTCCCTGCGTTCATAACTCTGTTCACGTATCGACTCTACTACTGTTAAATGAGCAACTTTTTATAAAAAGAGATAAGGGTTTTAAAGCTTACCTGGAGAAACAGTGAATATGACCCCCCCCCCCCCTCAGTATTCGAAGCCATATAATTCGGAGAAATTAAAATATAAAGGAATCATCTTCATACACTTAATGAAACATTCGTACAAAAATCGTCGTGTACATTTTTTTTTATCGTAATGAGTCAAAGACTTAAAAACTGATTCCATCTTACAGAACCGTTCTTGAATAGATTATACCGAGCTCGTCGAGAAATTTTCTTGTCGAACAAAAGTCAGAGGCTTCGCAAATTTTACACCATTCAATCTTAAACCCAAACCAAATCAGTCCAGATCATTATCCTTCCACTTACTTATAGGCCACTTCACAGTAGTTCTTCAACCAACATTTTGTATTCATTTCTTGTTTTGTTTCACCCATGCAATATACAATACTAGTGCCCAATGAAATTAAATTCCATGCTGAAATGTTATTAAATCTGAGAAAGCAGTGGGGGTTATCGCAGCATGATCAGTATTATGTTGCCTACAGCCTTTGAAGCGGAACTGTATTAATTGATATCCTACTGAGTACGGTGAAGCATATTCATTGCAGCTCGAGAAACTCTTGGTATGTTGTATGCAACCTTGTCATCGTCACATAACAGTATAGCTCCTGGGTCTGGTTCAAATAATAGCATTTAAACTTTACGGGCTTCCTCAGGTCATTATTTTTTTTTTCAAAGAAAATTGTATTCGTAGTTGCGCCCATCTTTCACTTATAATACAGTAGGGCTCCTGAAACAGGTTCCACCGACTTGATTTTCTCGGGGATTTTCGCCAAAATAACCGTAGGTTTTCGTTATAAAAAATTTATTCAAGGATTTCTGGCATTTATGCATAAAAAACAAATATTAATGATGCGATGGTCAGGGCAGATTTTAAATAGATCGGGCTTACGTGGAGGGCTTTGGTTAATTCGGTGATGAACCTTCGGCTTCGGTAAGCCATCTAGTTAGTTACGTGGAGTGGGGTAACGTGTGAAAATAAACTTCAGTCCTGGGGTGGGTCGGACCAAATGTTCCCTGGAGCCAGGTGAAATTTTAAAATTCGGCCCGTGGAGTCCTGTGCCTACCAGCGCACAGAGGAACAAGGCATCACCTTCACAACTAACGATGTAGGTTTGTCAAGAAATTGTGCCATGGCTACATTAACCTTGGATAGAAACAGCGTACAGGCGAACTTTCATGTATTAGAACCCACATCCGCCAATATAAACAATGCTTTAGAAAGTGATTATATTTATTTTTGTTTATCATAGTCACTGATAACTACTATTATGAATAAACTTTTCACCAAATGCTCGAGTGTTCTCGTTAGGAGCTGAATATAGACAACCACCGTTAACTTCAGTACGTGTGTCCGTGTAATTGTCTTTTAACACCACATGTCTCTTAGGGCTGTACTTTGTTTTAAATTTCAGAACAGTGTAATTTTGCGTGTTGTGTATGGGTATGAAAAACATGGTCTCTGACGTTAATGGAAGAAGACAGTCTGAAGGTGTGTGAGAAAGTGTGCTTAGGACAATGTTAGGACCTAGAAGGGATGAAGTGACAAGAGCCCGGCGAAAATAGCTCCTTAGTTTGTCCTCTTTCTAAATATTGATGACGCTGTTGAGTCAGAAAATCGAACATGTCTGAAGTGTGCATCTACATGAACAGCAGGAAGTTGCCATATCTGTGATTGACCTTTGAAGCCAAAGCTCATCTGAATGTTATTTGTGAATTTGATCCGTACCGCAATGAAAACGCTACACTTCTCCATTGTTAAGATCTTTTTTGTTAATGTTTAAGGAGATAATCGCACTGTACTCCAAGACTCAAAACCAATAAATATATTTTGCGGTCAAACTGCAGTCTTCGTCGATTATTAAAGCTGGTGGTGCACATAGTTACCAGTTGGCTTTTACGGGATAAAATATCCGTTTATGAAACTGTTAAGAACGTTCCCTCACTTGGCTGTTTATCGCCCAAGAGTGCAGGTCATGCCCTTACAGAATATGATTTGCATATCATTTTACTTTCATCGTTGCTTACTTAACCCAGTGACCTGTATCGTCTACTTATACACTCATTGGCGTATCAGTGTGACGTCTCAAATAGTTATTTTTCCTTATAGGCACAAAATCATAATTATGATGGAATGAAACAGATCTTACGCGTTCTCAGTAGTATAATTAGCATTCTTTAAATCTTTAGTTGCTTGTTGGACGGACAGCATTTTGAGACATTAATAAATTATGGAATGTATTTCAAATAACGAAGTAGTCTCATCGGGTGGTCAACGTGCGAGAAGGTAGGTAGTTTCCATCGAACATACCAACCCCTAATGAAGCAGACAGAAACAGTCTCCGAAATTTTGGAATGTAAGTGACATTTCAGGCTCTCACGGTGGCGAGTAGACGAAGATGCCTTCTGGGTTGCTGCGCCGTGCAGTCTCGTAGAAATTAACGACGTTTCAGAGGCGATCACTGCTTCCTCTGATGACAGGCAGTAAACACCTCTGAAACGTTAATCAATTCCTGCGAGACTACATGGCGCAGTAACCCACCAGGCAGTCATCTTCGTTGGAAACTATCTCCATTTTTCATGCCCGATCGCCAGAGATAGCCTCGTTGTACCCAGTTGCCGTGAAAGCTCCAAATGGTATGTAGTTCAAGTATCTGACAAGATTTGCGAACTCTGTACTTATCTACCACATGCCAGTGAAAATTCTCCCAAAAGCAGCATTCTGCTTATAGTACAACTTATGGTGTGATCTAGTCAGTGACCGAATGTGTGCTTGAGTAGTTAGCCCTCCTTTTTCATGTTTTATTTATTTGTGGTTTATTTAACAATACTTGAAGTTTCTCAGTCTATATGTTAGGAAGCTGTGGTTACCTAATTTAAGGCACTATCCCGATATTTTCCTGAAGAGACTGAGGAAAACCAACAAAAATCTCAGTCAGGGTATCCAGTCTCTTGCTAAAAATTTAACCCGGAACCTCCCGAATATGAAGCAGGGGTGCAAACCACCTGGCCACAATGTTTTATTTATTCGTAATATATTAATGAGGCACAGGACAATTTTGTCTTACCATCTTCTTCGGGGTATTCTTGCAGAACCACCTCAACATTCTATTCTCCTGAAGGCAGATTTCATTGATATGTTGAGTTACTGAATTGTGGCTTCTTTCTTTTGTCTGTATTGCCATATTCATAGGCTACTTACTGTGTAGGTGATACATTATGTTCTCTTGGTGGTGAGCATGAATATGACTGTCTTCTTCATAGTATATAGTTATTTTTCTTGTTTTTCTTGAAGTGTTGAACTTGTTACAGATGAATGCAGTCCAGAACAGTGTGTAATAACAAAACATTACAATGAGTTAGGATGTACACCAGTATTTGAAGAAGGTTCTTGCTGCCCCAACAGATTTGACTGCAGTAAGTAAACAATCAGAAGTTTGTGTATGCAGAGACCCCCATTTTACACCCTAAGATGATAAACCTCTTAAAATTTACTGAAGCACTATGTTTATATTTTTATGCTAAAAATATGAAGCCACATACATCATTTTATTATATCTGTATACAAATATGCTCTGGACCATAACTGTATGGCTTCTGATTTCCTGTTTTATCAATACCTGAATGATATGACTGAATTTCTCAAGATAGGAAACTGAAAATATTCAGAGTACAAAGTATATTGATTAATCTGAATATCTCATAAGCAAACATCATCAGGAATTTCTTTCAGTCTTCTGTTATTTCTAAAATCAAATATTTATAAATATTATGCCAGCACCTGTCTGAAGTAAGAGCAGAAATCTCTAACAAATCCACAAATTTAACCATTTTTCTCATACTACTCGTATGTGCAATGCCATGTAATGTAACACAGTTAATACTGAACACAACCTATCATACATTTTTTAAGTTCATGTGGTTTTCAACAAGATGATCTAATAGAACCCTAACTCAGACAAGTTCATAATATATCAATATATCACTTGCACTGACCAGAGCTACTTTTCTGCTGGTACGTTGTCCTAGTACATATCTCTTGTTTATAAAACACAAAAATAAAAAATAGTTTCTAAAGAAAAGATACAGCCAAGATGTAACTGTGATGGTGACATTCGCATGTCAAATTCAGTTCATCCTTTATTAATATTTTAAAGCTTTAATTGTTTCAAAGAAACTAAAAATATATGATCCTCTTACCCTTATCAAATCTGAATATCCCCTAACATTAATAATTAGTAGATAATTACTGTAGTAAATTTATACCAATTCAGTGACATAAACCGTAATGTAGAATATTGTGTGTCATCTGCACAACTGTCATATTTTAATCTTAGTCATTAATCAAAATAAAAGTCTCACAGTTTGAAAACTTTCAGGCTCACTATTTGGCCGAGATTCTCGAAAGTGTTATTATAAAGGAGTAGCATATGATGTACACACTGAACTGCATCCAGATGCAACAAACCGTTGCACAGTGGGTTGTCGATGCAATGATCAAGGTAGCCGGTGAGTGAAACATGCAACCTCAAATTAATTTTAATGAAGTTCTCAGGGGAACATGTGGATGTATGAAGGATGAAGAGAGTTGTGCTTATCATCTAATATTGCCAGGGTTATTAATCCAGAAGGTTGGATGGAAAAGAAGTTTATGCAAAATTTTGGTTGAAAACTTGAATATGAAGGGACCACTTGGTTCGTCTAAGCACAGATGGGAGGATATTGTTAGAATATAGCTTACAGAAATATTAACTGGATAGAAGAATTAGTGTGCTTTCATGAACATAGCGAAGAACATTTAAATATCATAAAAGAAGGGAATTTGTTAATTAGTAACATACAAACTGTCAGCTTCTCAAAGAAGGTATACTTCCTTTCATATCCTTTCCAGTTCATTACTCACTGTCATCCTCTTATCTGATGCTGTATATATAGTCCAGATACTGAAAGCATTGTTAAATGGAAAAAAACAGGCAAACGTTATTCTAGAGATCTGTAACTTTGTCTGTTGAATGAAGAAAGTGTTGAAAATTAACATGCATATGTATTAGATTTCAGTTATATTTATTGAGCCCTTTCTTGTTGCAGATCACAGTTGACATGTGTGAATATTGAATGCCCTGAGCTGTTCCAAGGACCTCTGTTTAATTCTGATTGTTTCCATCAGTACACATTGGACCGTTGCTGTTCCACAAACACCTATTGTAGTGAGTTTATGTGTAAATTTTCTTTCTGTAAGATGTAGCAACTATGCAAGAATATTTTATGTAACAGGGGTACCCCAAGAACAAATAAAATTATATATCAGCATTCTTGTAGCCTGTTTAGCATACCATATCTTCCTCATTAATTTTATTTTAAGAAACATGTACATTTTATAAACTTTCACACACAAAATCAGACTACTGTAATACTTTTCATCAAAATATCTACCAAATTATGTTAAATCTGAAATGAAGAGATTTCATTAAAATACACATATTTTATAATTTCAGGACCAAACAACACTGAAAATCTTCAGATTCCCCCACTGCATGAATGTCAGTATGGTGGCACAACATACAGGGAAGGTCAAATGATCTATCCAGAAGATGCACCTTGTAAGCAGTGTATCTGTCAGAGGGGATTTAATGGTAAATGTTAAAAGCGTGGATAATGCAATTAATTCTAACGTTATACTATTCAGACAAGCATATTGATGTGTTTGCTTGAAACATCCAAGTTTCTCCCATTTTTAGTTTTGCAGAATATGGGCATTTAAGAAAGTATGCAGTTAGCATGACCTTCAGTGACATAACTAACCAAGTTTAAAACCTCTTGATTCAAGTTATTTCTGTGGCACATTACAAACACATGAGAAATGTGTTAATTTGAATATTGGTTAAATATGTGTGAAGTGACAAATCGGTCTTGTATTGAACTCACTAGTACACAAGTGAACTACCACTGTTTGTCTTACAATTTATGTTTGTTTAATGTTTCTACTATACACCATTAGTACAGATTTAAAACCGCACAAACTATGAGCAGACATGCTGTACTTTCAGAAATCAGTAAACAATTTTAGTTGAACCACAGTAAGAATGACCAATGGAATGAACATATGTAATTAGTATTGCATCGTTATTGAAATATTCAAATCTGTCATAAAATTAAAAGTATTAGCCATTTAAAAGACATGTGGTTAAAGAAATCAAACTTTGTATATCATCAGAAACATTGGCTGGACCATGGTGCCAAGAAATATCTTGTGGAATTGAGCTACATTACAGCAGACGAATCAGTGATGGCTGTGTTCCAGTCTATTATGGTCGTACAGGCTGTTGTCCCATTGACTGGCGGTGCCGTAAGTAGAGTGCTGTTCTTAATGCTGCTTGTTTTGGGGTAAGACACTGGACATTCATCATGAGGGTTTTTGGTTTCATCCCTGGTCAGATGTGTATTTTCTGCTCCCATGCTGAAGCCTTCACATATACCAGAGATAAAACTTTGCAAAAGTGAAGTATTCCAGGCTCTTGGTTATGATCATGTGGTAATCTGTAGGTCCCCTGTGCTGGCCGTCATCCTGTCTCTGGGAGTAACAGAATCAATGCTATAGGTGGCTCCACCTCAGAAATGGTTTATACACTTCTCTATGGTTAGCAGGCTAGGGTTAGCCATCATAGATCATTTCTGGGGACATTAGATACTGAAATAATAACAAGCCATAACTATTAATACTATAGTGTTTAACCTACAAAGAACAGTGGCAATATAATAGCAAATAGCAGTTATCAGTAACAGGAGTTCAAATTCTCTTGACCTTCAGTAGTGTTTGGTGTGTTTAAAAAAATTATATTTTGAAATATGTTTGAGGTAAAAATTCTGAATCATGTAGTTACATGATCCTACATACATCAATTCACCAGTGTCAATAGTTGCTACTCTAATTGACTCGGGAAAGAAAAGTGTCTGTATACAATACAAAAGAAAACCAGATTTGAAGAGATGGTAAATCTTGAATGAATAAATGAATGACCCTAGTATCATGACCATCTTTGATTTATTGTGCAACCCCTTTAGAATGATATTGATTTGTTTCTTGTCATTCTGTAATGCTTGTATAAATATAAAGTTGGATGTTGGGAAGACTACTGACTATGAAACAGGTAACATCACAGAAAATGTAATCATGACTTATAAGTATCATCTCAGTATACATAATGAGACCAAATATAATTAATCGGCAAATCCGATCAAAAATTTTTCCACATGACTTTGGAATGTCAGATGCTCTGTAATATGAGTTGTTACACGGAGTGAGGAGGCTTGTACAAAAGGTACAGAATGAGGAAGATGTTATCTATCACATTCAGATGTGTTGCTTCTATTGAGCACATAATGTGTTTACGAATAAAGGGCCTTCTTTTACCATGATTGTATTTTATTTTAACAGCGGATGCCAGTGACTCTATAGTTGCTAGTGTGAATATAACATCAAAAAATGCAGGTAAGTTCAGTCTCCTATACTTGTTGTAATTTATAATCGACAGTAGTAGTTCATACATTGTCTGTGAATAAAAAACTGAAATGGGAGCTGAAGTTCCACATCATTTTAATCACTTCCCTTCATATACAATTTTACCTTTATTGACCTTCTAAGCATTTGTATGTAACATCTTATTCTGTTATTTGTAAATTTTCTGTCTGTGATATTTACATATGACACTATTTTACTTCCCAAGTACTTAGAGCTCTCTACTTTTCTTTTATTTAATAATGTTACATTTTCTTTCTTAAGTTTTGTAATACAATGTGTAATATTATAAACTGAACCCAATATAAATGAAAATATTTTAAAGACCAACTATTGAATTCTTTTCATTTATATGTTATGTGTTTTAGAGCACAAATGCAAGTTTGGACAGTTGGAACTGAGAATTGGTGACAAGTTGTCTGGTATTTCCAACAGATGTGTGCATTGCAGCTGTGTAGTGCCACCATTAGTGTCATGTACACAGAAAACTCATACAGAATGTAGGGAGTGATCTACATGTATGCAATATGTCTTAACATTTTTGGTTATAATTCATTTCATAGATATCCACATATTTTCATTACTAGAATATTAATTTTAAAAAAAAGAAAACATTGTTTCAGAATTTGTAATTTATAGGTTATAAACACATTGCAGTAAGCAGCAATAATAGCAGAAACATGCTTTAATCAAATACAGAATTAATAGATAAGATAAAAGTTCACATAAAATCTGTTTGTAATAAATAATCCTCAAGTACAAAGAAGATATCACAAACACTATAAAGTGTATTATTTTGAATGGTATTACAACAAACTTAATAAAATAACAGGATTGAAATTTATTTTCTTTTGTAAGTAAAATACATGTTACATAGGTTGACTGTTACATAAACATTTGCACTGTAAGTCTACTGTCCCATATTTACAAATCCAAAACCTCTTTCCCAATTTATTTCTCAATGCAGCACATCCTCTCACTTGATCCATGGAATAATGTGGCCATCATTGTGGTCTTTTCCCTTTCATTTACCAAATGCAATACTGTTTTAGAACTGTGACTATACATAGCCAAGTAAAAAAAAAGTTGCTTCCCAAACAATAATAAAAATAAACACTTTGTATCATACTGTATCAGACATACTGTTAATAATTACTGATGAATATCACTGTTATTACTTCATATAATGTTATTGAAAATGTTAAAATCTTATCGGGAATTATTCTCTCAAGGTTAATTCCATTCATAGACAAACTTGTTGGATATCAGAATGAATTTTCAAATATTGTGTTTGTCAGATACTGAAGAAAAAATGGGAGTTTGATTTCAAGTCCACAGTTCATCACAACCCAGAAGACTAACAATGGCATTTTGACTGCCATGAGAACCTCAAAGCTTTCACAGTGGGAGAGTACATAACCTATTTACGTGATAATTATGCACGACTCCGTTTATTCTTATTGATATTAATGTTTGATGCATTCCTATTTAGAATGATGGTTTATCATCATTGCTTTCCAACTTTGCGTTTGAATACATCATTACAAAAATCCAAGAAATCAAGCAGGGATTGGAACTGATTGGGACACATCAGCTTTTGGTCTATGATGATGTTGATTTACTGGGCTATCTGATAACTTACAGATTTAAAAAATGTACTGAACTAGAATTTATATGGACAAGAAATGTAGTCTCCAACAGTGGGTGTGGGAAACAGATTGACAGTGTTTGAGAACAGGATGCTTTGGGGATTATTTGACCTGAGAAGGATTAATGGGAGGAATGAAAAATTGCATCACAAGGAGCTACATAATTGTACTGTTAACCAGATTATCAAATCAAGGAGGATTAGATGGGCAAGGCATATAGCTTGGATGGAAAAAGTAAAAACAATTTTGGCCATGGATGGGAAGATAACATTAAAACACACTAAGGAAATATGTTAGAAAGGTGTGGACTGTTTTCATGTGACTACGGGTAGGAGCCAGTGGCAAGCTTTTGTGAACACATAATAGGCAGGAAATTTCTTGATTAGCTGAGAGATTAACAGATACTCAATGACTTGCCCCATGGAACAGTTGGTTAGTCAGTATTTCAAACACCAGTATGTACTGTAGGACAGGGGTGGACAAACAAAATGTCTTCAGCCAAATGCCCGGGAGAATTCAAAAAGTATCTGCTTAGAGAAACTCATGAAAACTGTAGCTTAGCAAGTTTAATACTCTGGCCTACAAGAGCTTGGTATCAGTGTTGTGGCCTGTCATGTGCAAAAATACATGCCCATATTCTATGAAGCAAACAGTATGCAAAATATTATGCCAGCCACATTTTTACCTGAGGGAATGATTTTCATAACACAGAATTGCCTATCTCCAGAATGAGTCACGTCTAACAGGCTTTGATTAAACATTGAAGAATTTGAAAATTATGTGAAATGTAAGTTATTAATTCAGTAGAAACACATGACAATCATCTACGATCAAATATGTACTTGGCATGGTGAGAAGTTAATTCTTTTAAACAGAGAAAATGTTATAGCTGATAAAGTAAGCCTATCTTACAAGACCAGTATATTTTAGATTTGTAAACTTTCCTGTACTTACCTCCAATGATTATCATATTCTAGTATGCAAGAGTTCTGTATGTATATATATATATATATATATCGCTCTCTCCAGTACTTCATGACATGGTGCTTAGGCAGTGGGGTAACTTTATCTTCCCTTGTACATTATCTTTGTTTTCATGTACCACTTTAAAAAAATTAATCTTTGATTTCTGTACTTTGGAATATGTTCATAGGCACAGAGAACACATCAGAATAGTCTTGGAAACTTTAAGATAAAGTATCAACTGCAGCTCTTGTTGGTTGTTGTAAATGTTACATAACATGAACATACCAGAATGAGATAGCCATAGGTCACATAAAATTTTGTTTCTCCGAAACCTAAGATATGACCTTTTTCCTTAAGTTATTGTTTCTTAAGAGGCATATTTTAATTTAGTCTGTCATATTAATGTAAAAACAGACCTTGTTCATATTGAAGTGAGTA